TAATTATAACGAAAGCAATATATTGGAAGTACTTGATTTCATTCTGTGCAGTTAAGGAATTTCATAAAGTAGTTAAGGTAATCCAATAAAATATACATGAATATACCTAATTAGGTTCTTCTTAACCACACACCACTTAACCACAAGTATTATTAGCAGATTTTCGGTATTCTTAATAACAACAAAGAGTTTGACTAAATTTTACTAATTTATTTATATCTATTACTACTACTATATCTAGCACGATAATAGACTCATTCGAATGAAAATTATATTTAAAAATATGGGGAAACTATGTGACGACAATATTTTAAAAGAGGTTGCGTACCCCTTCAAGAATCATGTTACAATAAGTATCTACACCACTAATCTATATCCGTCACTCACGCGTGCGCTACCTAATCAGTCACACATTATTTACATAAATTCTGAGCAAGAGTTGATTATGAAATCCCCGCACTCCATTTGCTATTATGTCGCCGCTAAACGTAGATGATCTGTCAGTTGTAAAACGACAACTCATTCGACATCAAGACACTCTCACACTTCACCGAGTGTCATTAAGGAGCTCGCTGATGTACGAAAGAAATTTTGGATAGGCAATATGGTACATTTTTTAATACCTCAGTTCTGTGGAATCATTTGTATCTTGTTTAAACATAGAAGTTATTGAATGTAAGATTCAATAACTTCTATGTTTAAACGTACACGACTACATGTTACTAACCTAAAGTCATTCAAAATACTTTTATTATTCTAAGATATTAATTAGTACACACAGACACATTTCACACACTAACAACTGTGTATGTCAATTTGTATGATTGTAAACACCACGACACATGAGAAAATCCTAGTTTGAGGCAACATCTAAAAAAATTAGGTCACTTAATATTGTTGTTTGCGCAGTTTTCTCTTTTCTGTTATTTAGTTATTTAATTACGGATCAAAAGAGCCGTATCCCACGACACGACACAGGGAATCCTAGTGCTTGTATTCTTTTGTCAGTAATTCTCTGTATTACAAAGATTTTTTTTACGTATATATATTGATATCATGTTGTGCCAAAATTTACTATGTGAATAAAAGTTATCATTTAAATCTAGAACCATTCGAAGAACAAACAAAACGTTTTATGGCTGTTTTGTGTTTGTATGAAATGTCTCACCTAACTGCCAGATCCATATATTATTTGTATGTGTATTACGCGTCTGTGCGGTGCTTTTAGCGATGCGATGGTACGCACCTGTGTTGGTTGCCACTAATGCCAGTAGGTGGTGGTGGCACGGTGGTGACAAATGAGCACTACCAGTAAAAATCGCGCCCGTTCCACAGTTCGCAGTATTTGGCTGAATTAATTCGTCTCGCGATGTCTCTTAGAACGGCGTACTCTAATGACGTCTATAGAAGCGACCAGACTTGTCATATTGATCCTATTTTATCGTTCTAATTTAATAAGTTACTATGCTAGTTAAGCTTTTATGTTGGTAGAGAAAATGTAAAGTAAAGATAAAAACAGGAATTCCAAAGAAATCTCAGATTTATATATAGGTAGCGATACAAGCTAGAGTTCTATTGGACATACATTCAAGACATAAAAGAACTTGTTGAGACAAAAACAAATAAAAAAGTTGTACTGCGTGGTTCGGCTTGCGGCGCGTCTATCGGCTGCTACGGCGTAGCGCGCTCGTAGCAGGCACTTAGCTGGTGGCCCCGGGCGCTCTGATTTATGTGCCGGCTACATCCAGTCGCGACAATTCATTTCAATTAACGCTCACTGCGCCCCTAGCGGTCCACCCTCATAACATTCATAATTATAAAACGTTACACCTCTATTCGTTGATAACATTGTGAATTTCAATTATTCTGCTAAACTTATTCTATGTATTATAGATATAAGTAGAACTGTACTACGAATTGAGCAACAAGCAAAATGTTTCCTCTAAACGAATTTAACTTTCCATTGGCTCCCTCCGTCGTGATTTTCACAAAAATAAAAAAGACAAAGAAATAAAAATGATCAATCGTGCGCTAAATGGTTTACACAGTGAATCCCGATCATTGGTGAGAATTCATTTGTTCGCTAAAAGCGTGACAATTGCGAAATCCGTGGCAGAACGACGACGCGCGATGGTGCGCAAACAGAAAACGGCGGCGCGGCGGCTCGCGAAAAAGTCCTTTTAAAAATGTTGCGGCACGTACGGGTGGGAAGGCACCCATTACTCTGAAGTGGTGATTGTTGGTTTAAAGATTTAGCTGCAAACGAGGAAACAGAGCAGCGCTAGCGACCCGCAGAGTTATACCACTAAATGGTTTAATTATTTATATTAACATGGACCATTAATTAGAGGTATAATGCTGTGCATCTATAAAATTTTATCATATGATCTGGTAAAACAAATGTAGGTCC